TTTTGAGGAGGTATGAGACACGAGGAATTCAAGAAAGAGCATCAAAAGAGTTGAACTTTCACGCAATCAAGAAAAATTGAGAGCAGGAACGATCATGAGAGCAACAGTATCCTAATTTCCAACGAATCGTTTACACCTTCGTGTGTTCCATCTACTCTGTATCCTTAGGGTTGAGGGTCTGCTTCAAGTTTGATTTTGAAAGAAGAATGAACAGTAAAAGGGGCTCATTTTGCCGATCAACGGCTGAGTGCGGCTAGAATTCTTAACGTTGTCGAATATCGAAGGAAAGTACATCACTTAGTAGATCGAAGTTTGGTTAAGAAAAAAAAGGTTGAAGATGAATAAATATGATGTCAACAATAAATAATAAAGAAAAATAAATATTACAGCAATGATAATTACAAACAACCACACGATAACAGTTTTTCGAAATGATGTAATGTTCAGTGATTTCAATAAATAACCCCCTATAGAGTAAATAGAAGCGAATCAGTAGAGAAAGGAGGATGAGAGGAAAAGTAGCTAGAACTAAAAGGCATTAATAACTGTCACCGTTGTGGATTCAACGCCTCATGTAGCAAAGATCCCAAACGATGTTGTACGTCTTTCTTCCATGCCTTCTGCTTTTTCACATGTCGATAGAAGTCTTCCAACAGTGTGTGTGCAGTTGGTGCATGAGGTATACGCATGAAAGCAGTAATGGCTGCCAGCAATAGCTGATGTGCCTAGATAAGATCTTTTAGAAAATATAGCACACTTACAGATGAAACAAAGCTGATGTTTTGAAAATTGGACAACCAACATCTTCCATGTCACTGCTGTTGAAGCGATTATGGCTGAGCTTCACGCCAGCAGCCGCGTAAAACTGTTCAATGCACCGTTCATATAATTCGGCTGTCGATGGATGCGCATATGTTTGAAGCAAAACTGCTCGAGTCTAAACAATAAAATCACACTATGATCTAGCGAGCGACTAAGGCACTGCCGTCGGTGTTTTTTTTTTCTTCTCTTGGATTATATGAGACAGGCAAAATAAAGCAAGAACAAAACCCTCAAGTTTAAAAAGAATTTTTCAAAGTAAACCACTCACTCTGCCAGCAACATGAGCGAAAGCTTTGCTTGAAGGAGTTGGCTGAGGAGGAGGTACTGAACGATTTATTGGAGGCATAGAGTACTGTTGAGGGTACGGTGGCAGGCGACTGCAATAACTGCAGAGGTTAGTAAAGTGAACAAGGAAACCACAAGAAAGCGTGCTAAAATGAAGTTTGACAGATATGGCTGCTGCTCCGTGTTTTTCACCGCCCAATGTTTCAAGATACACTGAAAATGATTTTGAGAAAACTTACGTATTTGCCTCCATGGCGAACTGGAAAAGCAAGAATGGAGAAGAAACAGCCTTTGCGACGGCATCAAGAAAATTGATGAAATATGGAGTGCCCAACTGCACGGATATAGTGAACAACCATCGGATGTCTTCGGCGTATGGAGGGGTCTATAAAGGCAATGTTCAAGAAGGTATGTGAGTATTTTGCAAAATCATACCTGAGAATATTTACTGTATTGTCTCGTTTCATCATTAGCGCTCGCAGCCATAGTGGCCAATGCTCTAATGCCAACACGATGGGCATTCACAAGTCGTGGTCGCGTATCCGATCCGGGTTGAGCACCTAATCGAGGACCTGACAGTTGAGGTGCTGACTGACTTTGATGCAGTCTACCGAGTTCATTCGCAACCGAAAGCCCATTGCTACTGCTTGGCTGGCTAAAGAGATCCTCATTACAAACACTCAAATATTGCTAAAGTCACATAGCATTGATGGCAATGACTGTTGAAATCTTGATCCATTGCCTAATACAGCTGAAGTTTCTATGGCAAATTAGTAGATAGTAAAGCAAGCAAATGCACCTGACAGGAACTGGGGGAGGATTCATGAATCCAATTGATTGTGAAGGATGCATTTGTTGATAGAAATATTGTTGTTGTGCGTGAGTAGTAGGCTAAAGTGAAAAAGAAAATCAGAACATTGAGTGAGTATCAGAAGGTTAAAGCTAGATATTTAAAACTTTGACATACAATGTTAAAGTATTGTTGGTGTTGGTTAGAAGAGTACTGCAACTGTTGTGCAGGTTGATTCTGATGCTGTTGGTGAACAGACATGGGAGGTTGATCAAGCTCATAATGAAGATCATGCCAATAACGCGCAACACGGAACAGCACGTCCGCAAAAACGATTTCCTGATTTGCTGCCTAAAATGTTGCAGTAACGAACAGAAGTGCATATAAGCAAAAGCTTGAGATAAAGTAATTTGACCTCTTCAATAGCTCTGCATGCGCTTTCAAGTAGGGAGGCACCCTGTTCTCGGCACTGTAACAGAGCTCGTTGGGTTTCTGCAGCACTCAGAGTGTAAGCGTATGGCAGAACAGATAAAGCCAATCGCGCAGCTTCTTCAACTACAGCAGGATCACGAGATTGGCCAGCCTGAACAAAATGTAACGCTAGAGATGCCTTATATACGTCATTTGGTGAATGGGAAGTACACAACAGTACAATTCACAAACCAATAACAAAGAAAAGATAAATGATATATTCAAAATTAAACAACATACAAAGGAGCAAAAATCGATTACCTTATCGGCCAATCCTGCAGCTTCTGATGGAGTCAAATGCGTTGGCCACGTTTCTCTGACTACCTCAATTGCCATGAGTCCTAAACAGCTGCATTAAGAAG